ACTACTAGTTGATAATGGCTTAATATTTTCTCTCTCACAAGTAATATGACCATTTTCACAGGAGACCTTCAGACCTTAGCCAACAGGAAAAGGGGGAGAGGGTTTTTTCCACCATGATAGGAAATATGAGAGAGCGATGTTGGAGTAGCAGAAACCTTTTTGTTCTACCCCTCAAATTAAACTCGGTGGGTTCATTTTGCTAGAGGCTGGTAATAGATTTCTGTATCGACAGCCTGAATGCTTTCTCTTAAGACAGAAAAAAGAAAGTAGTGGATGATTTCAGCTGGTCCTTGTGGGCTGTACAAATCAAGCTGCGGTCGCAGTGGAGAACCAGGCTGCCGTCCTTGCTGCGCTCGGCTCGCTCTCTTCCTGTCGGGGTGAAGAGCGTGGTGCTCTGTGAGCGGGCCGGGTGAGCAGTGAGTCAGGCCCCATGTGTGTGGTATGTGTCCGTGGCAGCCCAAACAATTCCTCAGAGTGTTTCCTCTGGTATTTCTTCTAGCCAATTCCTCCTCCCCACTGCCCAGAAGTCATTCCAAGTCAGTTGTAAAGGACTCCTGGGGCCCTGGGGCTGGACGGTGTTGATTTAGCCTTCAAGCTGCCAAAGGCTCGGACTGGGGCCGAGACTCTGGGCCAGGCCTGGGCTAAGCTGGCTAGCTAAGAAATGCTCTCTTGAGGGTGCATATATCGAGAAGCCGGATGTCCTTCCAAAAATCCCTTCAGAAATCAAAGGCCCTTTCTGCTTCTGCTTGTGGGCCTGGCTGCTACTGCTTTGGTCAGGCAGGAGGGGCCACTCATGCAGCTCTGAAAGCCTTGCTTGGTTGGGGGGAGGGAGGATGGCATTTGGCTCACATTTTGTTTGCTTGTTTTCAAGAGGTGCTTAGGCATTATCTGTAAACTCACTGAAATCAACAGCTTAAGTTGTTTTTGTTTTTTAATGTAACAGATACACACATACACCAAACTCACCACCATTGAGGCCTTTCTGACTCACAGCAACCCTACAGGACAGAGTAAAACTGTCCCTGCAGGTTTCTGAGGCTGTAGAGCATGACAAAGACAGAAAACCTATTCTGTCTCCTGAGGATTTGAATGGCCAACCTTGTGGTTATCAGCCCAACACATAGCCCAGCCCCCCCCCCCACCAGAGCTCCTAACATACACACATCTCACTGCCATTGAGTTGATTCTGATTCATAAGTGACCCTATACGACAGGGTAGAACAGAAGTGAAAAGTATCATCTTTCTGTCACGGAACAGCTGGTGGTTTCAAATTGCTGACCTTGCAGTTAGTAACCCAACATGGAACCACCAAGGTTCAACACACATGCGTCAACATGAAAACTAAAAATGATAGCCAAGCTTGCTACAAAGGAATCAATTCTGACTCCATGTGTTGCAGAGTAGAAGTGCTCCATAGTGTTTTCAAACTTATTTATTTAACAGTTTTAATGACATATAATTCACATACCATACAATCAAATGGTTTAAATATATTAGAGTTGTACATTCATCAGCACAATTCTTGAACATTTTCTTCATTCTTGTATACATAATTAGCTACCCAATTCCCCTCAACCTCCTCTGCCACAACACTAAGAAACTATTAATCTAGTTACTATCTCTATAGATTTACCTATCCTGAATTTCATACAAAGAAAACCATACAAAAGAGATAGCAACAACAATGAAATAAAACACAGAAAAATACCATTCCAAAAGAAAGCTGAACAACAAGTGAACTAAAATCAGTGGCGCGAAGGCCATAGGATGCCTAGTGGGGCTTAATCAAGGGCAATGTAGCAGCAAGGAATTACTAAACCCATATGAGGGTCGCACATGATGGTGGGACAAGAGGAAAATAAAAGGAGATAGAGGAAAAAACCAGGAGTCAAAAGACATTTATAGAGGTCTAAATACAGGCATGGACATATGTAAATTATATATGTGTGTGTGTGTGTGTGTGTATGGAGGGGAATAGAACTATGTACTCATATCTATGTTAAGAATTAAGGTTGCAGATGGACATTGGGCCTCGACTCAAGTACTCCCTCAACACAAGAACACTTTGTTCTAACACTCCAGAATTCTGTGATGGTCACCTTCCCGACATGATCGCTGAAGACAAAGTGGGTGTATAAGCAAATGTGGTGAAGAAAGCTGATGGTGCCCAGCTATCAAAGATATAGCATCTGGGGTCTTAAAGGCTTGAAGATAAACAAGCAGCCATCTAGCTAAGAAGCAACAAAGCCCACATGGAAGAAGCACACCAGCCTGTGTGATCATGAGGTGTCGATGGGATCGAGTATCAGGCATTTAAGACCCAGAACAAAACCATACCCAAGGTGAATGGGGGGGTGGGGAATCTAGTGGAGACCCAATGTCCATCTGTAGACAATTGGACATCCCTCACAGAGGGGTCACAGGGAAGAGATGAGCCAGTCAGGGGTAGTATAGTACCATTGAAACACACAACTTTCCTCTAGTTGATTGGTGCTTCCCTCCCCCCACTATCATGACCCCAATTCTACCTTACAAATTAGATTAGACCAGAACATGCACATTGCTACAGATAAGAGCCTGCCACAACACAGGGAATCCAGGGTAGATAAACCCCTCAGGGCCAACAATGAGAGTAGAGATAGCAGGAGGATTAGGGGAGGGGAGGGGGAGAGAGGGGGAATCGATCACAAGGATCAATATATGACCCTTTCCCAGGGGGAAGAACAATGGTGAGGGGTGATGGAGGATGATGTAAGATATGAAAATAATAATCTATAACTTATCAAAGGTCTGTGGGAGAAGGTGGGCGGGGGAGGTAGGGGAAAGAAATGGGGAGCTGATATCGGGCTCAGGTGGGAAGCGAATGCTTTGAAAGTGATGACGGCAGCATACATGCAAATGTGCTTGACATAATGGATGAATGTATGGATTGCGTTGAGATGTAAGAGCCTCCAATAAATGTATTTAATAAAAAATTTTAAAAGAAAGCAGAAAATAATAAAAAGAAAAAGTTAAAAATGTGTTAAAAGGGGAAACAATGTTGATATGTTATATTTTAACCTAGCTGTATCTGCAGTAATCCACTTTCCAATGCACTCTGTCTGAGGACAAGACTGTTAACCTCTTTGGCCGATAGCCTGAGGGAATCCAACAGAGGCTTAATCCATGTGTAGATCCTGCACATGGATTTTGTGCTTCCACTGTCGGCCACAGCCTTCTGCACAGCAGGCGCTGAGATTTTAAGCTCCAGTATATTCCTCTACCACCACCCCAGTCATGGATTTTATTATTAATAATCCTTAGAACACACAGGCTGGTGTGCTTCTTCCATGTAGACTTAGATACATCTCACTTAGATGACTGCTTGTTTTAAGACAAGCCTTTTAGTCTTTAGACCCTGTTCTTTTGTTGCTGTTGGTTGCTTGAATCAATGATTTATTCCTTTTATTAAATGTTTTTCCATCGTAAGAACATACTACGTGCAGTTCATGTATCCATTCACCATGTAAAGTTGAACTGTGGTCAATTTGGGACTCTTTTTTTTAATCTGAACTTTCTTTTCCTTTTTTAAATCATTTTATTGGTGGCTCATACAACTTTTATCACAATCCATACATACATCAATTGTGTCAAGCATATTTGTACATTTGTTGCCCTCATCATTCTCAAAATATTTGTTCTCCACTTAAGCCCTTGGTATCAGCTCCTCATTTCCCCCCCTCCCTCCCTGTTCCCCTCTCCCTCATGAACCCTTGATAACTTATAAATTATTATTATTTTGTCATGTCTTACACTGTCTGGCGTCTCCCCAAGCACCATCTGATTTCTTTACCACACATTGTTCCAGCGCTCCACTGGGTTTTCTTATGACTATAATCTTTATGGAAATGGACTGCCAGGCCGTTCTTCTGTGGCAACAGTATGTTGGTTTGAACCAGCAACCTTTAGGTTAGTAATCAGCACAAACCATCGGTGCTGCCGAGAAACCTTACAGACACCATACACACTAATTCCTTCCTAGCTGCAGTTTCCCGGGATCATGACAATAATCATAATTGTTAGTCTTAGTAATAGACCCTTTCCAAACACTAGTCCCAGATCTATTTTCAGTCTTGAATCCCAGTGCTGTCAGGGCTGCTAGAGTTTTAGAGGCAAATCGGTGAAGGTAAGTAACCCACCTCCAGAGCATCTGCTTCTCCCTCTCAATCAAACTTTACCCTCATAAAACAGTGGGAGGAATGGGTGTTTCTCTAATCCTTTGCCCTGGCCCAGAGCTTCTAAGGGTTTTAAGAATGAGTGTGTTTGTGTAGAGTGATATGGGCTATTCGCCCACCTACCTTTCATTTGATCCATTCATTCAATGAGTAGTTATTAAGCAACCTGCCATGTCCTGGACACACTGTAAAGGACTATGCCCCCCCCCCCCAACCACCACACCGATCTGTCCAGGTGATTGGACCTCATCCCTTCTTCTTGCCAACAGGGTGGTATTTGGAAGAAGAAAGGCTACTATGGACAAACGGAGGGAGTGGTTGGGGTAGCGGTTCAAGGTCCATTCTGCTTAGCCCACGTGTTGAGGCTTTTTCTACATGTAGAGCTAACAGGGGGTGAACACAGAACTTCAGGCTAACTGGCAGACTGCCCTGACCCCAAGACTGTACCTTCAGTACCAATGACAAGTCTCGAGCAGAGTGTTGCAACCCCCAACAACAGAAACCGAATCCTGGACGGGTTACTCAGGAGTCCCTGCCAGCTGCTGGCTCTGAAGTTGGCTTTGACTCTGGGCTAGGACTGTGTTAAGTTGGGGCCCAGGCTTGCATTGATCTCAGGGGCTCTTTTGTCTCCTCCCCGCACCCCAGTAGAAGCCTCCCCGCACCCCCCTCCCTCTGCCTCTCAAGCTCTTCCGCTGCTCCTAATGAATTGAAATCTCGGAGAGCAGCCGAGACGCTGGTAGTTTTACGAAACTGTCCTTGCGCTTTCTGCATTTGCCCAGTCAAGGGTATCTTTGCCTGAGGTTGGAACGATGCTGTTAGTCCTGGTGATATGATTGCATAGCAACACAGAGCGGTTCCGTGGGGGGAGGAGGAGGAGAAGGAGGGCAGGGAGGTGGGAGAGACAGAGGGAGAGTGTGCATACAGCAGCTGTCGGCATCCCTGTCTCAGGGACTTCTTTGCTGATTCACAGAGGCAGCCCAGGCCCAGCCTCCCAGCTTCCAGCAGCCGTTTGCTTCTCAGACCTGACGGAATCAGAAGGTAGGCCACAGAGAAACGATTTCCAAGTCTTGCCCTTGTTTGGCTGGCTGATGGGAGCTGACTGAGGGAGGGGGATGCTCCAGAGGTACTGTGTGAATTATGAGTGTGTGTGTGCGTGCGTGCGTGCATGCGTGTGCGTGTGTGTGTGTGTGTGTGTGTGTGTGTGTGTGTGAGCCTGCCTGCATGTACCTATAAGGGGAAACTTACACTTAAAAAATTGTCCACAATGAAGTAGCCACTGCTTGGATTCATAAAGAAGGAAAGAACAAAAAAGGATGCCCAGGAATAGCAACTCAAACCAGTTTGGGAAACTAGGGGCGAGAAATGAGAAAGGGGAAGATCCATGGTTTGGTTCTTGGAGAAGGAGGGGGTGGGGTGTCTATGTGTAGATACGTGTTTATTTATTTCTGTTCTCAATGACATGCTTTTTTGTCCACGGGTAGATTTTCAGGGAGGGGGGGGGGTGTGTGAAAAAGGCATTGGCTGAAAAGGGAGGAGAGAAGAAGAAATGTGGGACCTCCGAGCAGGCTGCCAGAACAAATGAGTATTGTGGTCAGCAGAGTTACCCCCTGAAGTAAACCAGGCTCAGCCAAGAGCCCGGGGCAAAGGGTGCATCCTATTCCGTAGCACTTACCTCTTGGCTCAGTTCCTTTTCCCTGTTGAGTTTTCCTTCTCTGGTCTTCTCCCCTGGTGTCCTTTCTACCCCCTGTAGTCGGAGTGCTTTCCATGGGCTTACCTGCCTTGGATGCAAGTGCCTCGTTTTGTCTGTTCTGACCTTTCCCCAGTATCAGACCCAAGCACCCCAGCCTGGTAAGGGGGCTTTCCTTTGGTAAGCAGTTGGAGCCAGGGCTCAGGGGTGTTGAGTCTAAGCGGGTGGCTGAGCTGGGGCTGGGGTTGGGTTGAGATGCAGAAGGAGGAATGTCAGCAGCAGCAGCTGCCTGCTTCCATTGAGAGCATGGTGCATGCTGCTTGGAAAAGAACATACTTTTCTCTGTGATTGTTCCGAAGAACAAAAGCCTTTAAAAAGCTCTATATGCAGCTCTCCTTAGTTCTTGACTTTTCCCAAAGAAACCTTGGGTTCTAGATGAAAGACCTGCAAGTAAGGCATCTTTAAAAGGCCCTGTGGGAGCCAGAGTCCTCGGAAGATTTTCCTTCTAGGATTTGGGTGAGGAGATGGTTCCTGAGAATCTCCAGGCCTTCTAAGCCTATCTCCTTGAAAAGGCGGTGCTGGGAAATGAGGTGTCCTGTCCCTCTTGTCCTGGACTGGCAGACCTCTGCCCGCCGCCCTGTTTCCTGTCAACTGTTGTGGGGAGTAAAGGAACATGGGAAGATCTCTGTTTCCTCTGCGACTATCCCTCCAGGCATTCAGCCCTTGCGGATGCCGCTCTGGGCTCTGGGGCAGAGCACCCTTCCATTGGCAGTCACTTAAAGGAGAGGAGCGTGGCGTGAAGGAGCCAATATAGCTAACAGCCCAGGAGCCATATGCAGACCACAAAGCACTGCTAACCACAGAAGCACAGAAGTTTCTGTTGCTGAGTCAGCCACAATGCCAGAGAAGATGGGGTGTCACTAATGAAACTTGGAAAGATAGCTCTCTACATTGACCAGGGACAGTCACTTAAAAGAAAATCCACTCTGTGAAAATTGTACTGCAACGGACACCCCTCCCTTAGCAAGGATGCAAAACCCTTATCAACCACTCATCAAACCAGTGAGCGAGTAAGAGAAACCCTTACAGGACAGCATTTGCCAAATGGATGTTCCACAGGACACTGTTCTAAGGTTGTTGTCAAAAATAAGGAGTGGGAACAGGGGTCATAGGGAGGGGGGTAGGTAATTCTGTAGCCTAGTAATTTTTTGGAAATGTTTCAGAGCTGAATTCTCTTGAGTCCCCGGGTATGAAAGCAAATGGACATCTCCGAGAAGAATTGCTAGAGAGCAATATTGCACTGTGTTCAACCCAGTTTACCCCAAACTGATCTGACCAGGGCACACTTCTCTACACGGAAAACACTTGAGAACCTGGCCAAGACCATTGGGGGCGTTATGGCTCAACACCTAGATGCATAAGTAAGAAAGAGCTGGAAGAAATCGTCACAGGAAAGAAGCTTGTAAGATAAGTTTGTTCAATACCACATTTTAAAATGTGACGACGGCAAAAACTGAGTAGTTAATCACATTGTTCTGACTGGTGAAGATCTGAGCGAACAGATTCCCAGCTGCTTCTCTAAGCAAGTCCCTCCCAGTAAAACGAGGCCCAGAGAAGTGAGGCAGCTTTAAGGAATAATTCTTCACATTGGAGTGCGGCATTTATATGGAATACATTTCTTTTCACTGGTCGCTCAAGCCACATATTACCAATTTTCCTTTTAAAATTACTACCAATGTTTCTTTCAGCATTGGATTTCTTTTAGTCGATTAAAAGAATTTATGAAGTATTTGGTACATACAAAAATGTACAAAAAAGCAATATAGTGAATATCAGGGTACTCACTGCCCAGCTTAAAAACATCACCAGTAAATTCAAACCTCTCTGTGTACTTATGTAAGTAAACCTCCCTCCCTCGGAAGTAAGGTTTGGAAGTTCCCGTGTGTTCTTTTCTATTTTTACCACATATGTATGTGTCTGAAAACAACATCTACTATTGCTTTGTATTTTTTTGAAGTTCATATAGGGTAGGTATTATTCACCTTGCTTTTTCCTGTTCAATGTTATATTTGCGAAAGTCATCTTCGTTGTACTGTCTCTAGGTCTCTCATCTTTTCAGTGTCCTGTAGCATTCCATTTACTGAGTATACTACAATTTATTTCTCAATAGCTGTTCATAGATTTTCTCCCCCCCCCCACTGTTCTGGGGGGCTATTGCAATTAGGGCTACTGTGCATATCCTTTTGTAGCTCTTCTGATGTGACCAGTTCTAGTGAGACCAAATCAAATGTGGAATTGTCCCAGTACAGGCTGTGCGCATCTCCGCCTTTGGGAAATGGCAGTGTCAAATGAGTCTATGAAATGGTTTACCCACATATACTCCCTCCAGCAGTGTGTGAAAGTTTCGGATTTACTACATTGATTGGATATGGGTGCTTTTGTTTCATTTTTAAATTTCTTTTGCGCCACCCCCGTGGAAACAACTTTTAGTTCTCAGGAACACATTTCATTGTTATCATTTGTAAATGAGGGAGTGGGTCTAGGTGATGGCTAACGTTCCTTCCAGCTCTGACCAGCCAAGTCTCTCATCTTTAAGAGAGGTACCCCTGCAGCAGAACCGAGGTTTTGGATGAAATTACAGGACTTATTTGAAGCATGCACAACAAGGGCCAGTACCAATGGCATGTGTGTCTTCTGACTGCCATGATGCCAGGTAGGAAACAGTGCTGTTAGGCAGTGTGCCTCTCTGGACTAGGGAAGGGAACCTATAGGCCAAGGAAGGGGATCTTCTGCCCAATGCCCTGTTCGTTGCTGAAGCCCTCGCAGTCTTAGAAAGCTTCCCAATTTCTAGACTTTCCACCACAAGAATAGCATATGCTTGTTGTTAAAAAATAAAATCCAATATAAGAGGACTCAATGCTTAGGGGACACTGAGCTTGGTGATGGTATGATTTGGGAACAGATAAGAGTGATGGTCAAGGAGCGCTGATGGCACTATTGGGTAAGCTTTGGACTTCCAACCACAGTGTCAATAGTTCAGACCCCCTAGCTGCTCCATGACAGAAAGATTAGACTATCCTGCTCCTGGTAGCATAGTGGGTTATGCATTGGGCTGCTAGCTGCAAGAGGAGTAATTCAAAACCACCAGCTGCTCTGAGGGAGAAAATGAGGCTTTCTACTCCAGTAAAGATTTAAAGTCTTGGAAACCCACAGGGGCAGTTCTGCTCTGCCCTACAGGGTCACTATGAGTCAGAATCTACTCAAAGGTAGACAGTTTGGTGACTCTAATCTTGTTCCAGAGAGCATCGCAACCGTGGAAATCTTATGCAGAGTTTGTGGGTCAGAATTGGCTCGATGGCAGTGAGTTTAAGGGTGATGGTTGTATCACATGATGAATATAATTAATGCTATTGAGCTGGACCATCTTGAATTGTACCCAATCTCCTCTGATCTTGGAAGCAAAGCAGTGTCCTGCCTGCTTAACACTTGGATTAAGAAGCCCTGGTGGTGCTGTGGGATGAGTGTCGGGCTGTTAACCACAAAATTGGCAGTTCAAACCTACAGTCACTTCTCAGGAGAAAGATAAGGCTGTCTGCCTCCATAATAATTTAGAGTATCAGAAACCCTATACTGTATAGGGTCATTTTGACTTGGACTCGATCAATGATGGTATATTGGAGCTGTATATGTGAGGCTTGTTAAAATGGCAAATGTTTTGTTATATACATATTTACTACACACATCAAAACATATGAGGGGGGTACCCATAAAAACCCTGATGTTTGGGGAGGGGGGTTATGTGAGGAGTATAGTGCATTTGGAGTTTCTTCCACCCGGTCAGACTGTTAATCAAGCTTTCTATTTAGGCGGTTCTGAAAAGGTTGCACAATAGTGTGTGTCAAAAAAGGACTGATTTGTGCCAGACGGGGGACAGGTTTTGGCATGACCACAATGCACCTGCTCATGTAGCCATCTCCGTGCGCCAGTTTTCGGCAAAAAAAAACCCAGCATGCCTCTCTTGCCCCACACACCCGACCTCACTCCATTCAACTTCTTTTTGTTTCAATGAATGAAAAGGGACATGAAAGGACAGTGATTTGATAACATAGAAGAGGTAAAGAAGAAAATGAGGGAGGTGCTGTCAGCCATCCAAACAGATGAGTTTGAAAGATGTTTCCAAGAATGGAATCGCAGATTTGACAAATGTAGTATGTGTAATGGAGAGTATTTTGAGGGTGATAACATAGTTTTGTAAAAAAAATTTAAATCCATAGCTTTGAAAAAAGATTCTGGGTTTTTTTTTGGGGGGGTATCCCCTCGTATACCACATTTACGCATAAACATACATCAT